GGTGCCAACTACACCTTTATTTTCAAGGTGGCCTGAACAGAGTGTTTTAGGGCAGCAAACCCTGGTCTCAGGCCACCTTGAATTTAGCTTGAAAACCACAGCTTTGAAGCCTCATGCGCGCCATACCCGGGAACAGAACTGTAGCTACTTGTAGCTACCCTGGGTCCGTATAAATACTGTGTTGTTGCATACCTCTTACACACCTATACAAGTTCAAAGCACGAATGAGACTTCAAAGCTGTGGATTGCTGTGCGTGTGTAGAGGTTCTCAAGCGGTTGACGGAAAGGGAACTTGAAGTACTATACCTAGTAGCTGCACTATGGCTACCCTAGGTCTCTATACCTTGCAAGGTGCCAACTACACCTTTCCATTCAGATGATGCAAATGATGCATTTGGCATTTCTTGCATCACCACCCCTCAAAAATCACCTCCAACACAACCTCAAAAAACCTTCCCTCGAAGCACCCTCCTCCTCCAGCATGTGCCGAGTTAACGTATACCTTTCTCGGGCCACCCCCCCCAGACCCCCTAACTACTCACTTCGTTCGCCAAACACAACTCCGCTAGCGCCTTCTACGAAGGCTGGCTTTCGTAACATGTCTACCTCAACATACCTCAATCAAACATGCCAGGGGCGAGTTTGGGTCTTTGAGTCGGCAACACTTCTCAGTCCAAGAATCCACGATCTGGTTCTGGTTCTGGCTGTGATCTGTTGGAACACTCAACTGAGGGGGGGCGATGATCTGGGATCGCTTCTTGCGAAGAGTACGTACCCTACATGCTTGGCTCAAGATGGACAACTTCACATTCGACAAGAAGCTATGTAGCTGGAAGTGGATTTCTGGACTATGTACCCAGGCTATCCCAGGCTACTCTTCAAGACACGGACTGCCAACGGCTTCTCTGTCTATATTCCTACCAATGTAGTATAGCCACATGCAATCTCAATAGAAACAAAGAACAATCTGGAAAATCGAAGAATGTGACAACATGTCAACAGACCATCCTCTGAGTTCTTCCAGAAAAAGAAGCACCCATTGCGGACCCATCCTCTAAGCGCTTCCCCTTCTTCCTCCAGATCGAACGCTTCGCGACCGGGGTGCCGGGCATAGCCCGCCGCTTTCAACTTACAACGCCACACCTGCTGAGGTCGGCCGGTTGAACGACCGTGCCACGGGCGTCGTGTTGGGAGCTTTGGCACTGAACGAGTTGGGCACTGAAAACGTCGGAAGTCTGAAAAGATGTAGTCGTTGGACCTGGAAGCATGTGTGCAGAGAACAGGATTAGGCAACGATGGATGTAGGCAATTACAGGTGTTTTTCAGAAGATCTCGAGGATGCATTTGCACCCCTTCCATTCGGAGAGAAGGTGTAGCTTCCAGCACAAGATCGCACGATTTGGGGGGGCCTTAGGCCGCCTTGGCCGGATGGAGACTTGGTAAGTCAGCCCGTCTGCCCGACGTCTAGCCCTCGAAGAATGTCTTGAGTTGTGAGAATTGTTGCCATCGTCGGCCACGATGGGCGCAAAGACACATAAGTCATGAGACCGTCTCTGCGATGGCGATGTCAAAGGCCACAGCTTCCCAAAATAGGAGAAGCTTTTATCTCTTCAGGAAGCAAGGCGTCCTTTCTACTAGTAGTAATGGTCTCCTCCACCCTAGTAGTGATGGCCTCCCCCAAGTAGCGATGGCCTCCATAAGTCATGAGACCGTCTCAGGATGTCTCAGGATGTCTAATTACTCTGCGATGTCTGTCAAAGGCCACGGCTTCCCAAAATACAAGGATGTCCACCGCCGTTGGCCCGGAGAAATAGCGCCTTACCCCAAAAGGATTTCCTCCAGAAAAAAGAAAAAACAACACAGCAACTAGGATGCTACTAGGGGCTCCTGGCCTTACTACTAGGAGCAAGGACACTAGGGGCTCCTGGCATCGCTACGAACGGAGCAAATAGCTATAGTAGTAATGCCCTTGTTACTAGCAGCTTGTTGTTCCTAGTAGCGATGCCAGGAGCCCCTAATATCGTCCTTGCTCCTAGTAGTAAGGCCCTTGTTTCTAGCAACTTGCGCTTGCACCTGTGAGACAACTCGCTTTGAGGTAGGTCATCACGACTGCTCTCGTCTCCCCACCGACGACTCGATCGATGTCTTCCCACCACAGTCCCACCTGTTTGCCCGTTTCCAGGTCGCTTAAGGCGGCAAACTTGTCCGCCCCAGTGGAGGCCTTGGGGGTTTTCACACGCGGGTCTCATCATGTTGAACCGCCTGTTTCTTCGTCAGTGGCGACCAAAAATCGCAACCCCCATTGCAGGTGCCAGTAGCTCATGTGTTTGAGTTCCTGTTCCGCACAAAAGCAATGACGCTCCACTTGGGATGGGGGTGAAGATTGCTTTCGATCCCAAGAGAGGTGGCCACAAGTGGTTTAAATGGACTGGCCATGACTTTGTTCATACTGATAGCGAGGGTTTTTCACACTCACGTGCGGACATGCCACACCAGAGTGCCAGCAGTATGCCACGGTTTAGCAGCAAAGCATATACAGCAAACTGGTGCAAATTCCGAGATCAGGCTTGGACCCACTCTGCTGTGTAAATGCTGGTGATGTAGATTCAAGGGAAGTTCATGCAGGGTGCGTCAAATGGAATCTTCACCAAACATGGCGTGCGCAGCGTGCGAAAAGGCGGGGACAGCGTGCGCACCCTGCGTTCTCCACCAACGCTGCTAGAGGGACCACCTGTTGCACCCGGTTCCAAAGGGCAGTGTCATCAACTAGGTATTATGGGTGATTGTGGGATATTGTGGGTGTGTATTTTAATAGGAAGACACCCAACATCACCCAACCAATGGGTAGACTGTCCCATCCATATGTTCTTTCTTCCAGGGGATCGAACTGCACCGATGTCTGGTTCAACACCCTCACTCGTTGTAGAAAGGATCCCCACTCTTGGTGCTTGGACGATCGACCTTTCTCCGACTTCAAAAGAACAAGACTCTACGACCTTCCACCACCATCCATGACCTACTCTATACTCTGTGAATGGCAAAACGGCAAACATCTTGACCCCCCATCGTTGTAATCACCTTGGAGATCAATGACCGAACTCGGTCTATCTGTCACTCTCTCCTCCGTGCTTCGCCCGTTGGTTTTCCGGGCATGTCGAACCACCCAGAGACCACTGGGCCGACATGGATGAGCCAGGGGACCACCCAGAGACCCGGGCCGAGGGACGGAGCCATTGGGGGAAACCGTCCTTCGGGGATCGGCGGTTCCAAGAAGAAACGGCCGAGGAAACACCTGAGACACCGAGACACCGATCGGGAGACCCGAGAGAGACACCGAGAGACCTCCGGGCGCTGCGGGGAGAGACCCGACGTCCGACCCGACGTCCGGGTGATGGACGTCGAAGTGGTGGGAAAACCCCCACCCATGCCCAGCCCACGCAATGGCACCACACCAAGGTGCTAGGATGGAGTCTGTCCTGGACGGAGTAGACTCCATGTCTTGTGGAGGGACATAGATGCCGGGATCGAAAAATGGAGGTCACTGCCACTAAGGAATCTTGCAGACATGGCTGGGATCTTTCTGGGACAGGTCACTAAGGGCACTGACTGTCACTGAGGTCCAGAATTCACTGCTTTTATGTCCGGTGCCTTTGGGATTCTCTATAGGTGTGGGGCATTTCTTCCGGAATTCCGTGGATCACTTGCTTGCCATCCTGGTCTGTGTAGCTCAAAGAGCCCCAACCGCCTGGGGGTCTCCCGAAAAAGGAGAATGGACCAGTCGACCCGTGGGGCTCTCCCGAAAATACGTCCAAATGTCTTGGAATACCTCCCCGTGAAGCTCCGTTCTCTCCAGTGACGCAGTGTTTGAAGGGGCCATTCGATGCCCATCGACTCTACGCAGCGACGCAGTGAAAGCACGGTCTATGATCCGATCCAAACCACTCAGAATCCGTTGATCGTATAGGTATTTCAACGAAAGAATTTCCGAGTCCTTACTGTTGAGGATGTCCATTCACAGTAGGTGATGTTGGGTCACCAAAAGCAAACGACGTCTGGAAGCCACGGACGGTCCAAGCCACGGGTTCGGGTTTTTCCCACCGATCGGTGCGGGTTCGGCGCCGGCGAGTTCGGCACCACCCAACGGCACATGGATCCCTGAGAAGAGAATGCCGGCGTTCATCCCCAAGAAACACCGGGACGCCCGAGCAGGAACTTGGCTGCTCGGCACGACTTCGAGTGGCCTGGGGCAGGCGCAGGCATCGGCAGGCGTGAGGCCTGGGGTGTGACTGCAAGAACCGGAGGCCTGGGGCGTGCCAAAAAGAATTAGCCCGGCAAGAGACCCCAAACAGTGTATCATAGTGTATCTAAAATCTAAAGGTCTAAAGTCTAGAGGTGGTGATGCTAGTTTCAAATAGTTTCAGAGATGCCCAAATGTGATCCAAAAGCAAATGATGGGATGGACTCAATAGGAGTGGACAAACCAGCAGTTTAATCCCAAATGGGGATGCCTCGTACCAGACAGAAGGAGAACCCCGAGTTCCAGTTGTTCAAGTGAAAAAAACCTATAAAAAACCTAGCTTGGTGTGAAGGACAACCTAACCAAACCCAACCAAACCACCTAACCAAACCGGTCCGGTCCATTTTCGAGAAAACATGCGAAAGAGAACCCATCTCACTCGATCACCCTCGGTGTCCGAGTGAAGGGGTTCCGAGGGTGAGACTGTCCACATGTAGGTCTTCAGTCGTTCCATGAAAGGGTGGATACGAGTTCCTGGCATTTCCGCACGCAGTTGTTTACCTGGCAATACACGAGCTTTCACGGTGCTGCAGGAGATCATCAAAGTTCGAAGGATGATCAAGAGGTAGATGTTTCAACCTCTTGCGTCAAAGTCATGCGAAAAGGGACACCCCCTCGCCAACTTTGTGTGGATACGGATCGAAAAAGTAAAAAAGATAGACAAAGGCATACAAAAGGCAAGTGAGCTGTTGAAACCATGGATCATCCTGGTATTTACCTCTTTTCAACTGTTTGGCTTGTGCTTCGCCCAAGGGACCCATCTGGGCCCCACACTGGTGATGCTTTGAGCCAGCTCGTGGGTCCCTTCAGCGAAGCTCGGCGAAGCACGTCTTCGTTCAGAAAGGAATCTCAGAGTCAGGGTCTCTAGGGTCAGGGTATATATCTCAGAGTATATCATTTCGGAAGAATCAACACGAAAACAACTCACTGCTCTGCTGATTTGGTGTTCTTTTACCAGAAGTGCGAAAGAAAAGAAGGATGACCGGAGTGACCATCGTTGCTTCTCACTGCTGTGGCGTCGTGAACTGCGAACCCTCGCGGCCCGCGCAGAGCTGAGCGGCCCCCCGTTGTGGTGGTTTTTTGTTGTTTGGTGTTTCTATTCTTTTGCTTGTATGAACACAATTTATGTAAACATCGCATAAATTGGGCATAGTTGCAAGTTGATATTATGCTTAGAAGTACGAATGATATATGATATGATAGAATTCTCAAGAGGGCCACGGAGAACTTTGGCTCTGGTGGCTTTTCCGCCAAAGACTTCATTCCGCAAAATGAGTGCAAAGCATCAATAAATCTGCCTTCACATGAGGCCATTGGAATAAACAAAACATTTGGCATACTATCTGCCACTTTGGAATTGACCGTTTCAGCCCAACGACCAGAGAGCGTCTTCGGCATCCAGCGTCTTCGGACTGCCACGTGACGGTTCTCCCGATCGAAGTGATGAAGCTCCACCTGTGGCCAGCCATCGCTGTTCCAGTTGATGAGTATTGCTGCAGGAGCTGTGCGTTGTCAAGTTCCGGAAGAACGAACAGGTTCCCCTCACTGACGTGTGGTTTGTGTGTGTTTTGTTCTGAAAAAGGAGGCAGTCTGAGAGCTGGTGAAGAGTATATGACGTTCTGATGGATGGGGGCATGTTCCTTGTAAAAAACAAAAATAACCGAACATTGACAGAAACAATAATGTGTCTGATGTAAATGTAAATGAACATATATGATGTGTATATTTGTTTAAAAGAAAATAGACGATATTCTTGATCATCCTCCATATCTTCAACTTCTATTTTCAGTGTTCCTGCCGCCCACAAGGGGAAACCACCCTGGAATCAACCTGAACCTTGAAAAGATCTGAGGATATCCTCCTACAGAAATCCAGCTCCTTCCAGAGCCCTTCACCCTTCCAAACACACCAGCTGTGCAGCTCCAGCGGAGCTGATGGAGAGCTACGAGAGCTGGAGCTACGCGCTGTCCCGCCTCGCCAGTGATGCAAGCACAAGCCAGCAAAGGGCGCTTGGGATGGAACTGGGCTTCGAAGCAGTGCTCCTCCCGGGACGAGCGTTCGCTGGGGCACACCACACGACGGGAGTGTGGACTCAAGAATTATGGTGAAATACCAGCGAATTCATACACTAAAGACCCCCAAAAATGTAATAAAAATTAAACAAATAAACATCAAAAAGATGCCCATGCCATGATGGCTCATTGGGGTTGGATGTGCCGCGTGCGGTACAGGTGTGAAAGTTCCGCGGAACCGGTCCTTGGTGTCGATCCCCAGGAGGGTCGTTCCCATGGATCCGATGGGAGGCTGTCAAGCTGTCAGGCTGTCGACCATGTGAAGCTGGTGGTGGTTGATGAAACTGGTGAAGAACTGGTGGAGAAATTGATCAGTGAGGTTGAGGGCTTTAGTTCCCTGTCGAATGGGTCGGCTCAAGCACCCCAAACTGAACTGGTACGAAGACGCACGCTGCCAGTGCTTCTGAATAGAAATGCTGGGATACACGCGTGGTGTTTTCTCTTCTTAACAAGACCACTTTCCATGCAAGCCAGCAAAACTCGAGACTTGCAGGTCGTCCAAGAGAACTGAGAGTTTCAGATCTGCCTCTGAAACTGCCAACATATGATTTTCAGATGCAGGTCTTAGCCATGAGTGGCGTTCGGAGCCAAGTGGCTCGGCCGCAAGCATTCGATCCCATGCGCGAAAACCTGATACCAGGCACCCTGGTGAGAGGTCTTAAAATTGTCTGTGACGTCTTCTTTTAACGGATGTCTTCTGAAACTGCTCATACCACTCTGAGAAGAGAAGGGTTAGCAGTACGACCTGTGAGCCAGGCTAGCCCACTTGATACAAAGTCGTGAAGACCAACTGGGCACCGGCACCGGAACAAGCAACTGCTTGGCATTCACCAACCTACTGTGTCCCACCGAAGCCCTTGGTCCATGTCGGAGATGGAAGAAGCGCTTGCCCTTCGAGGCGGTGGTCGAACATACCTAAAAGTGCTTCGTTGCGTGCTTTCCCACAAAAAATACAAAACCATAGAAAACCTATGAAAGCCCCCCCTTCTTCAAATAGTCAGTGATCTGCTTGTGGTCTGGAACCTTGGAAGAAGATCAGTGTAGCGGATCCCATAAATCTCCAAAGCTGCCCAGAGCAGCAAAGCCAAGCATAGAGATTGACGCTCAATGCGTGGATCAGCCCAGGGAATACGGTCACCTGCATCACCTACCCCCCTCTGGAGCACCTCCGAAGTCCGGAAGTCGGAAGCGCCACACGGACGGGGCCCGGGTTTCCCCGCCATCGAGCAAGCAAGCGCGCGCGCGAAGAGACCCAGAAGCAAAGACTCATCTTACTCCACCTCGGAGTCAAAATCCACCACTACCAATATAGGTTCAACATTTTCCTGGACTCTCAACGATATTTGGCTGGTCTCTCAACTGCTCGGGACACCCCAGCTCTTGTGGCCATTCCGAAGCCGCCCCTTTTCAGCTGAAATCGGAACACATCCACTGGACCGCCCGACATGTTCCGCTCGCAGGCGATGTGGGTCAGTTCGTGTTCCAGCCCTTTTTGCTTCACGGCTAAGATTGTTTGGTGGTGCTTCATCCCAGAAGCGCTCCTCAAAGTATATGGCCTTCCTCACCAGAGTTGGATTCCCCCCTTCACTGGGAACTGAAGGCGGAACCGAACTCGGAAACCCCTGCCGGACGCGCCGGACGGGAAGGCGGGAAGGCGGGACCGAGGGCGGCACCGGCGACGGGGCGAGTGGCGAACCGTCGGGAGACTCGCGTCGGGCGGTCGGAATGGCCGAAGAGGAGTGGCCGTTGTTTTCTGATGTTTTCTGTAATGAAGGATGTTCTTGTTTTGGTGCTATAAGGTATGTAATATATGTTATACTGTTTTGGTCCAACGTCGAAATGGTCAGTGCTTGAAAACGGGACGAACCTCCTTCATCGTCCGCTCGTTCGACCTTCCTCGTTCGCTCCCGGCCGATGTCGCAGCGGGTGGAGCGTTTCGGAGAGCCGTTTCGCAGCGGCTCGAGGCGTCGGAGCACTCCAGAGAGTGTGTGGGGAGGCCGATGCGGCCGATGAGTCTGAGTGACACTGAGTCCGAACTTCGAAAACCGAAAGATTGGACACTTCAAAACATTTGGACGATTCAGCGCTTCTGATGATTCTGAGATGTTTTTCACGTGCATCTTCCACTCGTGCGGACTCCGGCAGACTCCCGGTTTCGTCGAACGAACTGCCAAGCGAGGAGCTGAACACCACTGGCGAGCGGTCATTCCCAGGCGAATTGGGCCTGGCCAGTTCCGGGCCGGTATTTCTGGGAGGGTCTTCGGAAGAGCATGCAAGTCAGCACAGTTCTGTGGGTCAAACTCGGTCAAAGCCATCAAAACCATGTGGTTCAGCGGCGACCTTCCAGTGGGTTTCGTGCGTTGACCGACAATGACTGATTGGAATTAGGTGCAGGGTCTGATTCCCCCGTGATCGTTTTCCAAGCATCAACCGTGTAGGCATGTGTAGGCCACTTGCTCGGATGTCCAAAATGCAAAGATCAGAAGACAAACAGTATATTGAAGCCTGAATTTAGGATGAAACATGTTTGTCCAAAAAGCAACCAGCAGAATTCACCCCAACAATTGTGTAATCATTGTTGGGAGGATTCCAAAATCAGGGGGAAGGAGTAAGTCTTGTCAAAGACTACTCCGCTTACTTCGTGCCGCTGACTTCGCGCGACCGTTGACACGGCGACCATGGTTCGTCCACTGCCTCTTCTCCGTCATAGTAATCCTGAAGATCCTCATCGTCCATACAAGCCTCGATTTGGGACACCCGCGGTGTGATGGGCATGTTGTTCCGGAAAGGGAGAAAGCATCCACCATCCGGGCTGGCCAGGAGTTTGGCCAATTCTTGACATGGCTTGTGAAGGGGACTGAAAGGGCCTTGTTCCCCACCAGTGGAGGCTCTGATAGGATCTGTACTGGGTGGCTGAAGCGCTTCGCAAGGTCCACACAGTATCCCTACAGCGTTCCCACCCGACCTAGCCTAGCCCAGTATCCAACAACAATTCCACTCGCTTTCTCCTGACTTCTTTAAAACACCGATCGCGACTTGAGCGGAAACTGCGCTGCTTTTCGCCGAAACGGCGAGCTGCTTTTCCGAGACGCGCTCGTCTGTTCGCGCAGGGCTGACCCCCACGAAGCGCAAATGGACATGAATCGGTGACGCTTGGGGGGGAGGGACCCCAGGCGACGTCCGGCGCTTTGGGGGGGGGGAAAAAATCGTAACATATACCTGGATCCTTCCGGTGCCAGAATGGAGATCCATAAGTAGTGCAGAGGCTTTCATTGGTGACCCCTTGGAAGGTGCAGGCGGTATATATATATATATATATTGTATAGGGGCAGGGGTCAGGTACTCTCGGATGTCAAGGCTCAACCTGTCAGCCAGATCCACAACTGAAGAGCTTGGCAGAACTTTGGGGAAAGACCACGTTCAGCTGCCCATATACCAGCCTTCAAGGGGTGGTTAATGGACACCCCTCAACGGCTAAGGGGCTATAATTAGACACCCCAAACGGAGGGTCCTGGTATGCGTCATTTGACGGTTTCCCTAACATTGTCTCGCTCACCACCCCCTAATACCGACCGGAATCCAAACACGCACAGGCCAACCCATCACAGACCTGTTCTTCCCTGCGCAAAGGATGACGTTCGGTCATGGACTTGATTTGGCCATATTTGGCTCCAAATTCCATGCCCAAAAGGAACACGGACCTCCAAATGGAATACATCTCACAGAGTAGGAAAGCGATCCTGCTATTGGATTGTGCCATATTCTATCCCTATAAGCATGAAAGCATGACTCAAAGTAGTACCCAGCTTTTCAGAACATCCTTGTTGCTTTCCCATGGGGTGTGCGGCTACATCGCCTTACGCCTTGCACCCCGTCCGAAGAAATGCGGTTCTCCGTGCAGGCCTCGTGCATCCACCAGGCCTCGCCACCTAAGGAGTCGAACTCCGCCTTGGTCGTCCGCACCTGCGACGGTGGCGACGTCGCGGAAGTGGGCGACGGTCGAGTGGGCACCGGTGAAGGTCAACAGGGTCAGGTGAAGGACACGTGATGTCAACAGGGTCAGGCGTCTCGTGTGGACAGCCCGGGTGTCCGACGCCGAACGACGGGGGACCGACCCGGAGAGAACCGATGGAGGCCGCTTTCAGTGGGGTGATCAGAGCTGCTGCAAGGAGCGGATGGTTCTCGTCATGAACAAGATCCTGGTTTTGCATCAACCTGCAGGCATCCCTTCCCCACGGCAACATCCCATCTGCTGGACTGTCCCATCTGATTTCAGGGCCTAAACCAACAAAATACATCCCCAATTCATCCCCATCAATTCAGCTGGCCTTCCAGAGCAGCATATCATATAGCTGTGAAAAAATCTGCCGGTGTGATGGCACCTGATACCTATCTCCCCACTCGCCTCTAGTGGCTTCTGTGTGTCTTGGACTCGAAGAGTGCCACACACGGACCGTGGGAGGCTAGAGAAACATGCCACACTTTTGACTCGAACAGTTTGGAAATGTTTGGAAGAAGGGGGTCTTAAAGTGATTCGACGTGCCCACGCGTAAACTCTCGCGTACCCTACACAGGCTGTTCGTTTTCGGGGTCTTACAACCTCATGCCTCATCACCCGAATCTCTTCTCACTTTTGAACAGTGAGTGGTTAAGTGACGCTCCGAATTCGCCCCATGCTTCCTGATACGCAAATCAGCAACAGTTCCAATGCCATTCATTATGTCGCGAAAGCAGCGTCGACATCACAAACATCACGGCAAATTGGTCAGTGACCTCTGAACCTCTCCAATCAAATCCAAAATTCCAAACCAAACCTCCAGGGTCATTGTTCTTGCATCTTCTTGCATCCCTTGCGTTCTTCTGAAAAAGAAGAATAACTCAACCCTTGGGCCGGGGAAAAAGAGGTCCTTGGCCGGTTCCCCAACACCGTCTGAACAGCCGGGTCTGAGCGGAGAAGAACGACCGGGTCCGGGCGGTGCGGCAGAGGCTTTCTTGCTGAACCTCTCAGGATACCACCTCTTCATGGTGGATTCTGAATTTTCATGGACTTTTGAGTATCAATATATTTCAACCCCCACCCTATATATTCTATTTATGAGTCTACATATGGGATTATTTAGTAGGCCCCCCTCTCAACCCCCCCAGGAATAATTTGGACATTATACATCTGTATACCTCTAGTTGTAGGCTTTGTTGAAAATTATTCCAAGGGACCCTTGACCTACCCCTGCCTAAGTTTATCATTCCAAGAATGATTC